AAATTTTAAAACTGACCTATAGAGACAACAACACAACAATATCATAATCTCATATTCAATTAAGCAGAGCAATAACTTTTTCCTTTTTATCTACCTACTAGTATCCGTGGGGATCCATAGGGATGTTTCACTACGCGTGAACCCTTATTCAACATTGTCAACTAATCAGCCGTCCGCATACCCCATCCGGTATGAGCGCCAAAATACCAATCCTTGATACCTAATCCGGTATGAGGTAACGTTCACGGCAGGGTTCCCTATGTACCTGGTCCGTCTACTATCTCTCAAGATATCTAGTGAGGCTACCATTCATTCATTCACTCAATCAAATAATTCTCCGTTTACATTTAATTCTAAGTTTCACAATTTAACTATAATCACGTAAAACAAGCAATACATGCATCAAGGAAGTACAATTGAATCATCACACCAACTACAGTGTATTATTGTACATTTGAAACTGTAAAATCAATCAAACATGATAAACAGTGAATAATAAGCGGTTCTGACTCCATTAGTAACCTGTGATTAATTATCGAGATTTTTTAAATTGTATAAAATACCAAATTATTTATAATTAAACTTGAATTTCATAAGAAGGAATATGGTGAGGGATTCTACCCGAATCGGTGTTCAAACACTAAACTTTCAGCTACACCTACTGGTGGTCCCCAAGTTCTTTGAATCTTTCTTCGGAGATTAAAACATGCTCCAAGTACGTAAAAATACCCCAAAAAACTCAAAATCGGCGTTAAAACCCTTTGTCGACCAATTTTAGAATTCCAGCATGGTGGTACCGCTGTGCTCTGGCGACAGCACTGCTATGCTTCGGCGACGGCACGGCCGCCTACGACGGTAGTTTGTCTCGGACTGGCTGTTTTTAGCCTGTTTTGGCTGATTTCGGTCGGTTTTGTACTCATCTCTGCGATAAAATACGTTAAGGAGTATCAGTTGGTGAAAAAAGTAAAAAAAAAAAAACAAAAGCTTACCGACGATGAAGTTTTCTAATGCGGCGGCTCCACCGGCTACGTGGTGCGCTTTGGTTCTCAAGGCTGCTGACTGGGCGGTTCTGCATGGCATATTTTTCTTAAATTACGTTTTGACCCTCAGTTTTCGATTTTTCTTTCAAAAACACTCCCAGAACCCAACTTTTCACCCATTTTTCCTAAAATTATTTTTAATTTCATCTTCCACCTATTTTTTCTAATTTTTACATTAAATAAAAATTCATAAATTTAAAAATGATACTTTATACATTAATTTTAAATTTTTTTAAAATTAATTACGGGTATTATAAGAAATCTATAGGATCACCTCTGCGGTGCAACTGGTAGGAAACATGAGACAACCTTTAATCGCTAGCTTTCTTGCTGTTCCAGATCCAGATCTTGGTCGTTCTGATCTGAAATAGTTAAATGAGGGGGATGAACTACACTAACCCAATAAGAATATCAACACTTTACAACCGATATGAAAAATCAAAAGTTGGTAAAAATTGTAAAACAACTAATTGAGCTATTTTTCTTTTTAGGTAAATTTATTTAATTTTAAAAACGTTAGTTTCATACTCACCTTTTAGATTTCCAAATATGACTTGTGAAGGGAAGAATTAAGATAACAATCTATTAGACATAGTAAGAAACCAACAATAATCAAACATTACATTTTTACTTATTTCTCGGTGTCTCTTTGGGGGTCCATAGGGGTTCCTACTGCATGTAGACCCAATATCCAACCTATTAATTAATCGATCATCTCTATACCCCGTCTGGTAATGGGCGTCAAACATACCACTATTTCAATACTCTGTCCGGTATGAGAGTGAACAAATACCTCCTAACCCTTTCCAGTATGGGACTTCTAAGCCCTATTCGATTGAGATAACATCAACGGTAGAGTTTGCCTTATGCACCGAGTCCGTACATTATTTTTCATAACACTAGATAAGCCTTTTACATATATATTATCATCATCCACTAGCCATCAATTATATACAACAGTCTCATTTCATAATTACAGAGCAATAGAATGACAATTAAATAAGAAATATAATTTAATACTTTAATAACTAAGAAAAGCATAGTCAGGACATTTATTTCAAACTAATCAACAGGTTTGGATAAAACAATTAAGTGGACTAATAAACAAGAAGACAATTAAAATTAATAAAATTAAAGTAAGCGATGTAATAGTAAGCAATTAAAACAATATAGAAATAAATAGGAAACACAGATAAACTATATACTGACTAGTTACCGGCTCTATCGGTGACCTGTATTTAATTAATTAAAGGTTGCAAATATTCACACATTTTACCGTTGATTATTATTTAAACTTTAATTAACTGTAATGGGAGAAAGGATGAGAGATTCTTACACTGGGTCGGTGTTTGAAATACCGTCTTTTTCACTGCACTTTTTAGCCGTCCTTGGATTTATTAGGTTTTTCTATGAAAACAAAAAGAACATGTCACATATCTCGAAATACCCAAAAGGGCCAAAAATAAGGGTTTTTAAATTTTTTAGGTTGGTTTAGGGTTCTGTGCAAAAACTTGTAAAATTCGTAGTTTGGTGGTCTTTATTGGCCGAAAAAAGGAAAAAATCGAAGCTTACTGACGAGGGGATTTTTCAGTGCAGCAGCTTCACCGTTCCTCTCTCGCGGTCGATGGTTTTCTTCAGTCGTCCTACACTAGAAAAAAGTCAAGAATCCATTGGTCAGAAAATGGAAGAAATGGGAAGGGATTCGGGCTCATCAGAGAGGTTTTGGGTCGCAGGTGCGGTGGCTCAGCCGAGGTCTATCCTCTATTTCCGACCTCTCCTTTGGTTTTTTTGGAGTCGATATGGGTTTAGGGAGGCTTATAATCAAATTGCAAATTGAAATAGGGAAAAAAAAACTCACCTTCTAGCGTCGGCGACGGGCTCCAATGCGGCGGTGATGGTGGTCGATCTTCTTCTCCAAGGACTGGTTCACTTCTAGCCGCCACTCTTCTTCTTCTCCGATTCCCTCTTGGCGGCTAGGGTTTTTAGTGTCCAGGTGGAGAGGTTTAAATAGCTCTCCATTTTCAATCTGAGCTGTCCGTTTGAGGAGGCATGGCCTAACCTCAGCCGTCAGATATGTCTTATTTGGAGAATGACTCTGCACCATACGATCGGATACAATCAGGATCATTCAATCGCGCCTGAAGGATAAACAAATTTGGGTCGTCCATGCGTGCGGGAGTAAATCTGGGCTATCGGATCCGTTGGCACGCGGATTGCCTGCGTGGCTTCCCGCGTGGACACGTGTCCATGGGTCTGCCATGCGGCACACAACGACTGGCCGCACTGCTGACGTAGCAATCTACGTGACCACTTTTCTATTTTTTTTTTATTTTTACCCCAATTTTTGAGATTTCTTTTCAAATAAATCCTTTTTTATTTCCAGTTTAGCAATGACTTTTGAAAATTATTTTCAAATACTCCTACAATATATATTTCTTCAAAATTTCAAATAAAAATTAAAAAATTAAAATTTTTAAAGTTATTTATAAATAAAATTTGATTATCTCGAACCTAAATCTCGGGTCCGAGTGTTAAGTATGATTTCTATTATTGTTAACTTCACTTATCAAGAAATTATGATCATATATCATGTCTAATCATTATAGAAAGTCTTTTTTTTTTTAATATTTGATATACAAAACCTCTTTTCTTTTGCAATGAATTAACCTTACATGTTAAGTATTAACCTTCTACATGTCCATAAAAATTAATTTTTTTTATTAAAAAATAATTTCAGATATTAACCTATAATGATTGTTTATACTAAACGAATTTAGTTCTTACAAAATATTTATTTCATTAGATTTATAATGATATATTGAAAGAAAATTTAGTTTGATAAATACATTCTATCAATACATAATAAATTAAATTTTAAATTTACTAAATTAAATATTATAAGTTAATTATTATAATTCATAATATATTTATAAAATAATAAATATTAAATTTTTAATAAAATTTATATTTAAATAAAATGTTAAAATCTAATTACTGCTGTCTTTTGAGGGGGGGGAACCTTAGCTATTAAAGTATAGGTTACATCATGTATCATAATTTTATATCAAGGCATTAAGTAAGTATGTTATTATTTCTCCAAAAAAGAAAAAGTATGTATGTTATCGGCGTGAAAATTACGCATCAACAAAAACAGGATTGAAAATTGCACGAATTTGTGGCATTATTGTGTCAGTGCTTCTCTCATCAGTCCAATCCAACGCCAAATAATTTGTAATATTGGAAATTAAAGCCACCAGCTGGTTCTGAACCTGGACCATTTACTTTGTACTATTTTGCGATTATCAATTATTATTATGAATTAATAATGACAATATTTATTATTATTTACTGTTAAATGAGCCACAAAAAAAAAAAAAAAATGGTCCACCGCTGCAGCTTCTCATTTATAGATTTTCTCTGTTGGTTGTCTGTTGAGAGTCGACAGAGACATGGTGGGAATTGCAGAAGACACCAGGCATATTTCTATTGGTGCATATATTATAATATTATGCATGAACCGTTCTTATCTCAAACAAATTGAAGCAGAAGCAAAACATTTTACGTACGAGATTTAATTTTCTCCACTTTTTTTAATGCCTTAATTTTGGATGACAACAAATTTAGGTGTAATTGCTTATAACGAAGATTCCTATGTTTTTCTTTTGGGAATAGATTTCATGTCGTCCACAAACACGGGAACAGGATTGGATATTTGGGAATAATTAAATAAAAAGAAGAAGAAAATAGAAAGACGACAAGGGTAAGGTGGTGTTTGAAGTTGCCGCTTTACCATATATAAACTTGCATGATTGTTCATCTCGGACCCAGTTTTATCTAAATTAAAGTCTGTCACGAACTTTGGGAACAGCAACGACTAAAAGCATGCATAAATTTCAGTTCAATCTTTATTTTTTGGTGGTTCAAAATGCTACCACAGATGATTATGTTATCACTTGTGACTGATCAGAACTGGAACCAAAACCAAGTTTAATGAACACATGATTCAACATAACCCATAAGAAAAACAAATTAAGCTTATATATATTGATTCGGGTAGCATGTCATCTTACTGATGATCTAATCTCCTGAGAAGAGCAGATTTGAGAGCATCCTGATCGGTTCTTGATGCTTCAGGGACTCTCACCACTATATCCTGAAGCATGAGCTCATTAATGCAAGACATGCTCGCATGGTGGACCTGAAATTCCAACTCACGCAATGCACTCATCAGTCTTGCTGCTGGGTAGTTTACATTCTCCGATTGAACCCTTATCACAGCATCGTTACCCACCACCTTCACCTCAATTTCAAGCCCACCTCCGATGTTGCTGCCCCCACTACCAGTACCAGAGTTGTTAGACTTGGTCTGATCAACAGATGTGGTTGTACTTTGGGTTTCCAAGTTATCTGCCATTTCCAGCTTCACCTTCTTGGACTCTTTCTGTAGTTGGGATTCCAACTCCTCGATCTTTCCTTTCAGCTCGTTGATGTAATAAACGGCGTCGGAGAGCAACGATGCCTTGTCCATGCGCGACACATTGGGTACCACCGCTCGCAAGGCATAGAACCGGTGGTTGAGCTTCTCTCGTCGCTGCCTCTCCGCCTCCACGTGGTTCAATGGAGTCTCTCGCCCCAGACCCGGTTTCCTTCCACGCTTCTTGTGCAATTTTTTCTCAACGATGGGTCCGACGTTGTTCATCAATGGACAATCCGAATCCGAATTCTCCGAATCCACAAAAGAGGATTGACCCGGTTTTGCCGGAGAAGAATCCTTTCTGGGCTCCTTATTATCTCTGTCTTTAGGGGAAGCATCTTCCTCCTGCACCCCGGCAATTATACCGATATCGGCGAAAGAGATGTTCCGATCCAAGAAGGGGATGGGAGTGGGGTTAGGACTGGGTTGCTTGGAAACTAAGGTGATGAGATCTGAAGCAAAGAGAGATTTTACCTGTTGGACAAGACTCCAGTTTTCACGGATCAAATCAGATGAACCCAATTCAAGAACCCCATTGGAAGTTGGTACAAAGACAAGAGTTTCAATGCCGTGCATGTTTGCTTCCTTGGCTCTATCACAGCTATACAACTGTAGCTCGTGGCCACCAGTAAGCCAGACCAAGGAGCCAGTGGTAAGAGCCTTGCCAGGGCCTCCATCGCCGGCGGGAAATGATCGAGTGAGGGACATAACGTAGAACCACTCGACATCAGTGACATCACTGCCGTCCATCATCGAGACGTTGATCATGTCATTGTGTGTATCTCCAAGGAGGGCTTGGATTCCTTTCATGACATCTTTGCGCCGGTGTGTGTGAAACAAGTGGTGGTTGGTGTTGGTGCTGGTGTTATTTTCTTTGGCGCCTTGAAAATGGCCATCCCCCCACCCCAGGTAGATGCGGCCATTGTCATCATTTAAGGTCTGCCAGAAGATGGCATAAGCCCACGACTCTGGTTGCGTCTGGACTATGAACTGTAACCTCTGTTGGAGAGCTGTAGTTGGTTCTTGGGAAAAAGAGACGAGGGAAGATGATGAAGATGGAGAGATTATGAGTTCATCCATGGCTTTTTTGTGTATTCTTTAGTGAATGGCGTGCAAGAGATAGGAGTATACATGTATATATATATATAGATACAAACAAAGATATCAAAAGCATATTATGGCGGAATCTCAAAAAGAAGAGAAGTTCCTGAAAAAAAAAACGTAGCAGATAATAACTTTTTAAAATTAATAATCCCCAAATTTCAACATGTTTCTATTCTGTTTTAAAGTTAAGTTAAATATAAGTTATAAACATTATAATTAATATTTATTTTTTGAATTTTCTTAAGTAGTTCATGAATTAAATTTAATTATAATTCATATATTTTGAATTTTAATAGTTGTGTTAATATTTATTATTATATATCTATATAATTGAAAATTTATAGTGACCGCTATAAATTCAAATTTAAATTTTTTTATTAGTCTCTCGTTTTTTTTTCTTCTAATTTCCAATAAAGTATTACTATAATTAATGTATTTTTTAGATATTTTTTCAATAAAATGGTATTAAAGCTTGGTTTTCTTACTTTTTGATTCTCTAAATTTTTGAAGAGGTGGCTAGTAATAATATATTCACATTCCAATTGAATGGTCTTACAAAAAAAAAATATGATAGTTAGTATTTTCGCATAAAAGTTATACTTGGTTCACAAGATATGTGAGATATTGTAAACAAAAGTATTACTCCACCCAAAAATGAAGCATCATTGAATAAAATGAGAAGATGTTTGGCAAAAGAAGGAAGAAGGATCAACAAACCTTTAGTCTCATCCATCAAGATCTAGATGATTCTTTATTATTGAAGGTGGCGGATGCTACCAATGCAAAACAAGTTTGGGAGATTTTGAAGAATTCCCTCCAATGAGTTGATAAGGTGAAGAATATGCAACTCTAAACTCTATAAGAAAAATTTGAAGCTTTACAAATGAGGGATATTGAATCAATTTCATATTTTTGCTCAAGGGTAAAGTCTATAATGGACCAATAAGAAAATATGGTGAGACGATGGAAGATGTTTGTCTGGTATAAGAAATTCTTCAATTTTTGCCAACAAAATTTGATTATATGGTATGTGTCATTGAAGAGTCAAAAAATCTAAAGACCTTGACTTTCGAGTAATTAGAGGGATCACTATAAGCTTATGAAGGACAAAATAAAGACAAAACAATAATAGCCTTTAAAATAAAATTCTAAATCAAAGATCTCTTTGAATGATAGTTAAATAAAAAGAGGACAAGAAAGAGGTAAAGAACACAATCTTCATTGTGGTCAAGTGCCTAAAAAAATAGCATTCAAGACTGTGCCAAAATAAAGGCAAAAGCCAACAGTCAAATAAAGGTCATGGAAGAAGAAAAGGAAAAGGTAACTACGAAAGGTTTGACAAGTCAAATGTTTAATGTTACAACTATCACAAATATGACCATTATGTTTTAGAATATTGTGACACTTCAAACAAAAAGGAAAAACAAGTTTATCTTGTTAAAAATGATCAGGATGGGAAGGAAACGAGCTTGTTGCTAACACAAAGATGGAGATCGTGATGACCATCGTCCATGATACTTAAACAATAGAGCAAACAATCACATATGGCACCACAAAGAAAAATTTATGAAGCTTGATGAGAAAATCAATGACAATGTTTCTTTCGAAAACTCTTCAAACGTCCAAATTCAAAGGAGATGTATATTTTTAATTTTCTTTAAAGAATGATGGGCATACACTTATTATTAATAGTTATTATATGCCAAAGTTGAAAAATAATATTTTGAATTTGGACCAACTTCTTAAAAAGAGATATGAAATTCACATGAAAAATTATTGCATTTTGTTTAGAGATCAAAGTGTTAATTTGATTAATAAGATGCATATGTTAAATAATAGAATGTTTCTATTGAATCTCAATATTATTAAAGCAAGATGCTTGAAGGATAGTGTGGAAGATGAAGTTTGGTGTTGGGATATGAGATTTTGCCATTTGAACTTTAAAACATTCAAGGTAATGAAAGAATGAAAGATAGTGAAAGGGATTTGTTTAATCAACCATCATAATCCATTGTGTGGGACATGTCTATTCAACAAGCACTCAAGAAAAAGTTTTTCAAAAAAAGCCACTATAAGAGCAATTAAGCCACTTCAACTTATGAATGCCAATATATGTGGACCAATTAAACCACCTTTATTTGGTAAAAAATAAATATTTTTTTTTCTTTATTGATGATTTTAGTAAAACGTCTTGGTTGTATATTATAGGGCACAAATCATATGTTTTTTAGTTTTAAAATTTTCAAAACTATTATAAAAAAAAAATTATGGTTATGAAATAAAATATTTGAGAACCAATAGAGGTGAATTCACTTCTAAAGAATTTCATTATTTTTGTGAATCCAATGGAATTCATTACCTTTTAATAGTTCCAAAATAACCATAACAAAAAAAAGTTACAGAGAGAAAGAATATAATTATTCTTAATATGCCTAGAAGCATGTTGAAAGCCAAAAACATGCCCAAACAATTTTGGGCCAAAGCAATTTTTTATATACTTATTTGTCCAACAGAACTCCAACATCAAGTACAAAATGCAAGACCTCCCAAGAAGCATGGAACGGAATAAAGGCTAGTGTTAGTTATTTTACAAGTTTTTGTAAGTGTTACATATGTTCATCTTCCACAACAAAAGAGATTTCAAACTTATGAATGAGAATTGAACATGTTTTCATTATTTGTGATACAAATTTAAAATGCTATAAATTTTACAATCCAAGCAACGACAAGATATGGTGAGTAAAGATGTTAAAGTTGATGAAAAGACAACTCGAAATTGTGGGGAACAAGAAAAAAATATTTATATTTTCATTTTAATTTTGAAGAGGAAGGCCAAGAGATTATGGTGTTGTTGCAAGAGATAACTCCACCTCTTTCTCCAACTTATATTGCATCATCTACTCCTTAAAGAAGCTCAAGTGAAAGGTCATAAAAGATTTTGCTCATTCAAGATTTCTATTATAAAACTGAGGAGATCTCTAACTTCAACGTAAATTTGTTTTCTATTTTTCTTGATAGTAAACCTATGATAAAAGAATCAAAGATACAAGATAGAGATAAGCCATGGAGGAAAAAGGCAATTCCATAAAAAAGAACAACAAATAAGACCTATCAACTTTTCTTAAAGGATATGAAGCTATTAAAGTCAATTGAGTGTATAAGGCAAAGAAGAATTCTCAAGGAAAGGTAAAAAGGTATAAAGTAAGACATATGGCTAAAAGATATAAGCAAAAGCATGGAGTTGATTATGATGAATTTTTTTTCACTAGTTACTCGCGTGGAGGTTATTTGTTTGCTATTAGCCATTTCAGCTCAAATGAAATAAAGAATTTTTTAACTTGATGTGAAGTCAACATTTCTCAATGACTATCTTAATGAGGAGGTTTATTCAGAACAATGATTAGGTTTCATAGTTGAATGATATGAAGATAAAGTATTTAGATTGAAAAACACTTTATATGGGCTAAGGCAAGCACCCAAGGAATAACCATATAAACAAGTAATTCAAAGATAATGGATTTATTTGCTATCTTCATAAATATATTCTTTTTGCGAAGTGTCATACTAATTATTACATTTTATTTGTGTGTTTATATATGAATGATCTTATCTTCATTGGCAACAATCCACCCTTATGAAAAAACTTTAAAAAAAACCATATTACTTGAATTTGATATGACTGACATTGGGCTCATGCCTTACTATTTGGGTCTTAGGTTAAAACAGATAGAAGATGACATTTTAATTTCTCATTAAGGCCATACAAGAGAAATCTTAGAAAAATTCAAAATGCTAAATTGTAATCCTATAAACACGCTAATGAAATATAGAGTTAAGTTGTCAAAGTTTGATAATGGAAAAAAGATAGATCCTATTCTCTTTAAGAGTCTTATAAAAAATTTGAGATACTTAATTTTATAATCCCTAATATTTTTTTTTACGATTGGATTAATAAGTCATTTTATGGAAACTCCTACCACCTGCTACATGAATCTAAAAGAATCATATGTTACATTAAAAATATTGTTGAATTTGAGTTATCCTATTCTTCATCTAATGATTTCAAATTTGTAGAATTTTATAATAGTGATTTGCTAAAGATGTTGATGATAGAAATGTATAACTGGTTTTGTATTATTTATAAATGATTACGCAATTGTATGGAGTTCTAAGAAGTAAACCATTATTATATTATTGTGAATCTAAATATGTAGTGATAACCTGTTGCACTTGTCATGCCATGTGGCTTAGAAGGTTGTTGAAGGAACTACACTGTACTGAAAGGGAGCGATTGAAACTGCTATTGACAATAAGCTCACATAAGCATTACCCAAAATTTCTGTATTTCGTGAATGAAGCAAGTACATAAATATAAGATATCATTTCATTAGGGATTGCATTGTTAAAAATAGAATTAATTTGAAATATATAATCAAGTTACAATTTTTAAAGACTACGTGCTAGTCTTAGAGTAAAAAGAAAATTTACAACTTAATAAGAAATGTTCAAAATAATAATTTGTAAATTTCAATATGTTTAGACTTTTTATCTTATTAGGGAGTTAAGTTAAATATAAATTATGAATATGATAATTAATATATTTTTTGTTAATTTTTCTAAGTGGTTCTTGAATTAGATTTAATTATTATTCATACATTCAAAATTTTAAAAGTCATTTTAAGTATTTTTTTATATATCAATATACTTGAAGATTTATAGTGATCATTACAAATCAAAATTTAAGTATTTTTTATTAGTTTCTCAATATTCCTCACATTTCCAACAAAGAACTATCTAGAATTAATTTATCCCTTAAAAGTTTTTCGAAAAGAAATATAATGTAAGAGTGAGGAAGCCTGAGGTGAAAAGTGATTTTTAGTAACGTACTTTTCTCATTATAATTATATAAAAAAAAATGTCAACAAAAAAATATAAAAATATATTTTTATTGTGTCTTATTTTTTTTTTTTTATAAAATATTTGCACGATAATCTATGTAAAGAGTAG